GTTTTTCATGCTGGCTGAGCCCCCTTGCCTTCTTCCTGGCGCCATTCTGGAAGCTTCAGAAAAGAGGGGGCATGACATTGAATCTGGAGCTTGAAGACATGGCTTCCCACATCATTCCCATGTGGACTGGCGTATGTGGCATACACGTGTGTATGCACAGGGGTGGGGGAGCTGCCCAGTGTTCACACATGTGGGGGCCATAAGCTGATTTGGATATCACCTTCCTCTGCCATTCTCCCCCTTATTTCTTGAGACAAGGTCTCCTACTAAACCGGGGGTCACTATGCTGCCTGATCTGCAGCAAGCCCCTGGAATCGCCCTGTCTTTGCCTCCTCAACACTGGGATTATAGGCACCCCCCATCACATATGACTCTTAGGTGGGTGCCGGGGATCTGAACTCAGGTCCTCGTGCACACGCAGCAAGCTCTTGACCCCTGGAGTCATCTCAGCCCTGATCCGCATCACTCTTGTAGTGATGTTCTTGTGGAGTTACCCCACCAAATGAATTAGCAGATACTGAACTGTTCCTAGGAGAAATAAAGAGTTAGTTAGGTTCCAGGAGGCTCTGGTCACAGCGTTTCCACTAACTGATCAATACCCAACCATGTTTTATTGTGTTTCTGCTTAAAGACGCCTTATTTTATACACACCATTAACATTGAGCTCCAAGCCAACAACACTATCATTCACGACCAAACCAAACTTCTCTAACCCACATATTTTCTCCACAAGGTAGAAATGTTCTTTATCACTGTGCTTAGGCTCATTTTAAATGACAAAATCACCAAGCAAAAACACACACAGCAAGCTGGCATCGAATAGATCACAAAAATTACAGGCTGCTCTCTGTTTTTCAGTATGAGAGAGGAAGGAAGGAGGCAGAGGGTCACCTTGCTCAAGTGTACCAATTCAAATGTTGTGCTACTCTGTATGTGTCTGCAAGAGACTACAAATGTAAGATGCATGATTTGGAGGTCAGAAAGTTAGGCAACTGGCTAATATAGAATTCAGGAACAACAATTAACAGTACTTGAAGACTTTGGAGTACATGGAGTACTATGCAGCCACAAAAAGGAATGAAGTTTGGATACACGTGGCAGCCTGGAACAGCCTCCAAGGCACTGTGCTGTTTCACTCAGTGGAAGCTGACACTGTGATGTCACTAGTACGACATTCTTGAAAATACAAAGTAAGGAGACAACAAAGGCATAGTAGTACAGGGAGTCCTGAGAGGTGACAAAATTGTGCCATGTCCTTCTTGTAGTGGTGACAACCAAGGACATGCATGTATTACAATGCACGAAGCTGCACCTCAAGAGAAGAGAGTTTATTTTATTTCATGCGGTTTAATAAATGAATGCACACTGTATGCTTATCATAAAAATAAGCAGCCAATGGTACAACACTCCTACCTCGGATTGGGTCTGCTGCATGGAATGGGGTCCACGGGGGCAGTAACTCTGGACACTTGAGCCCTTTGTACCTCCCTAGCAGCCTTGTCACAAGAAGGACAGTCGCCAGCTGTGTTTTGAGCCATGGCCTCATATCATATGCAAGTGGCCGAGAAAGCTTCACTACTCTCGAATATGGGTGACCAGCCCAGTCCCAGGCGTCTCCATCACTCTCAATTCATTTATTCTTCTGTGATAGGACCCCACTCCTGCAGGGGCCCAGGGCATTGGTTTTATATCCACACGCAGAGATCCCCACTTAGAAGTTAGTGTTGCCCCTAGCAACCAGCTCTCTCCATGCTGCTTTGAATGCAGGCTGCCGGAGGAAGACTGCTCCTCAGAACTGATTGCCCAAAGACCTCCTATCACAATGTGAACAAAACATTTTTAAACAGAAAATTTAACAAGACTTTAAAACAAAGATCCAAAGTATTTTTATCACATCCTGACGACGTGTTTGCTGAGTGACTGGAGGGGCTTTCTCTGTACTTTGCAAAAGAAGAAAGACAAAGAAAAAAAACAGATCATGAAGCCCTACCTGTTCTGAGACCTGAGAGGTGGAATGGAGATGACATGATACCCCTGGAAAGCCCACACGTACAGCTTGAAGCCCATAGTAGGTGCTGTTAAAGTGCCTGTGGAAATCAAGACAAATACCCAAATGAAAGAGCTGTTTCTGATAATCATTTATCCACACCATCGGTGTAGGAGGGTCTACACCAAGTACCACACCCAACACAGAAGGGAGTAGTAAGATGTGGCCCATGCCTTCAAGTCCAGTAGACAGAAGAATACAGAAATAATTGAATTAAACTGGTACATTTGAGCAGCTAAATTATACCTGTTGTTGTTTCTGAACTCTGCACCTCCTTTTCAGGGCACCATTTCCAATTCTCAAGCATCACTGCACTGGCAGCCGGGAAAATGTGTGCTAACATGAAATGTGAGGAGTATTCTGTGGGAGGGTGGATAAATGCAAGGGTATTTGTCAACACCTGTTGGGTGCCAATGACAAGTCCCAACTCATAGGAACATAAACAAAAAGGCAAATGCGTTGGCTTACATAATTGGGAAGAACTCGAGACCCAAATGGACAACAAAAGAACCTGTCCCTTCGGGGAAACACCAAATGGCAGACAACGCCAGTGCAGCAGGAGGACCCGGGGACCCAGGATTAGGAGGCCGCTGCGGCTTCCACGGAGGATTCGGCAGCGGTCTCAGGGGCCACGGTCGTGGTCCAGGCTGTGGCTGTGGTCGAGGCTGCCGCTCGTGGAGGTAAAGCTGAAGACAAAGATTAGATCCCCTTCACCAAGCTGGGCCACCTGGTTAAGGACATGAAGATCAAGTCCCTGGAAAAGATCTACCTGTTTCCCTTCCCATTAAGGAATCCGAGATCATTGACTTTTTCCTGGGCGCATCCCTAAAGGATGAGGTTCTAAAGATCATGCCAGTGCAGAAGCAGACTCGGGCTGGCCAGCGGACCAGGTTCAAGGCTTTGGTCACTATTGGGGACTACAATGATCATGTTGGTGTTGGTGTTAAGTGCTCCAAGGAAGTAGCCACTGCCATATGAGGGGCTGTCATCTTGGCCAACCTGTCCATTGTCCCTGTGTGGAGAGGCTACTGGGGGAACAAGATTGGCAAGCCCCACACTGTTCCGTGCACGGTGACAGACCGCTGTGGCTGTGTTGGTGCATCTCATCTCTGCCCCCAGAGGCACTGGCATCGTCTCTGCTCCTGTGCCCAAGAAGCTACTGATGATGGCCGGTGTGATGACTGCTACACATCAGCCAGGGGCTGCACTGCCACCCTGGACAATTTTGCCAAGGCCACCTTTGATGCCATCTCCAAGACCTACCTGACCTCCTGACCGCCAACCTCTGGAAAGAGACTGTGTTCACCAAATCTCCTTATGAGGAATTCACTGACCATCTTGTGAAAACTCACACCAGAGTGTCTGTCAGAGGACCCAGGCTCCAGCTGTGGCCACCACATAAGGGTTTTGATACAAGAAAAATAAAGTGAACTAAATCCATTAAAAAAAAAAAAAAAAAGAAGAAGAACCCACCCCTCCACGGCATCTTGTCTTCATTGTTTTCATGAACAAAGTCTTAAATCTGGTGCCAAATCTGGTGGCCACATTCAGTCCTTCCTAGTTATAGGACTCAGCTACCCATGCCAATATAGAAAAAAAAATCAGTTCTCTAATGGGAAACAGAAAATGGGTTTGACCTTTCCAGGAGCCCCATCCAATTGAATAGATGTTCAGCACGGAGGACAGAGAAGAAAGCAATATTGGACTGCAGCCACTAGAACCCTGCACACACTTTGGTCCCACAAGTCTCTGAATAAGGACAGCTTGGACCCCAAGCAAAGCTCAACTCTGGGCATCATCAAACTGTAGAACTGAATAGCACTATAGCACTGAGGTCCAACAGAGGCAGATATGTCCACGGTAGAACAGATTGAGGCTGCTGAGATGTTACCAGGACAGAGAAAAAAAGCTCAGGACACAGAAATGGACCTGGCTTGAATCTTAGCTCAGCCTCTTCGTATTGGTGAGCTTTTCCGAGTTGACAACTCCTCATCCATTAAGTAGAAATAATGATACTTGCCTCCTAAGTGGTAGGGAACTCTAAAGAGCTAAACTCAGACACGATTGTGGTGTTTAATTCCATATCCTTTTTTATCTTCGGTATCCTCTCTTCTAATTCTCAAGCCCTGGGTTATCCATCCACCCATCATCCACCCCATATTTCTTCAGCAACTGCTCTAGGAAATGTGCCACATGTTGAAAATACTGATATTAATAAGACAGACCTCTTGGCCCTCTCAGGAGTATCCAGCCTTTTGACATTGCAATATGACAGTTTCTCTACAGAGGTGGTGGACCATATTCACAGCTATTCTAGGACCTGCCTGCCTAGCTACTGAGAAATCAAGTAAGAGTAATAAAACAATTCTGAAACATAATGTATGTGGAAGTATATAGAAGTACAATGAATCCCCTAAAACTGTAAGATTGCTGGGGGGGGGGCATTGTTTTTATACCCAGTATAATAGTCCCCCTTATCCAATGTTTTGCTTTTCATGGTCTCATAGTTACCCATAGTCAACTGCAACTATTAAATGGAAAATTCTCGAAATAAATGTTTTAAGTTGTGCACTGTTCTATGTAGCATGATGAAATCTGAAGCAATCATGATCCAGACCATTAGGATGTGAATCACTTATTGCTAGTTCACATACCCAACCTGTGTATGCTATCATCCCCACAACTACTCAGCAGCCCTTCGGTTATCAGCTGTACTTGTCATGCATTAAACAAGAGGAACTGTGATCCCTGAGATCTACAGTATGAACTAACCTCCCTTCAGGGAAAATGAGGACAGAAAAAGAGGTTGTACTAGTTTGGCTAATATACCTCAAACTATTGTGAGCACTGTGTGTGACAAATGCTTGGTGAGCACGAAAAAGACTATGTTTGGCTTTGTGGACAGAGCAGAAGCATAATGCATATTTGATTTTTGTCTCTATCTGTTGTTTAGAACACCAATGGGGACTTGAAGTATATCTTCTACTGATAAGGAAGGACCACTGCTTCTTGCTAAATTCTCATAGCAACTGCACAAGGTGTGTTATCATTCTCTTATTAAAAACTGACATGATGTATCAGCAACATGGCCCAAATGCCTGTAGTTGGTGAGAGATAGGAATAAATTCTACTGCCCATGTTGTTAGAGTCTCTGGAACCCTGAAGAGTTTATTGATGGGGGATGAATGGGAGGTTTCTCTGGATGTTATTTTCAAGTGTTCACAGTGACCAATAAAGAAGTTGCAGTCACAGGTTGAGAGCACAGAAAAAGTAGGGAAGGTACTGTACTAATTAGTGTTTCTAATTTGCTGTGACAAAAGACAAGAGCAGCTTAAGGGAGCAAGGGTTCATTTTAGCTCTCAGTTTAAGAAGGGATACAGTCTATCCTGATGGGAAGCAAGAGCATGAGGCAGCAGGTCATACATCACCACTTGGGAAGAACAGAGAAATGCATGCTGATGTGGAACGTGTTTCTCCTTTTTATTAAGTCCAGAACTCTGACCCATGGGATGGTATCCCCTGGACTCAGGGTGGGTTTTCCCTCCTCAGTTAAACCTCTCCAGAAACAGCCTCACAGACACATCCAGAGGTGTATCTCCCAGGTGACTCCAAGTCCCATCCAGTTGACAATGAAGATTAACAATCACAGGAATGAAGCAAATGATGCAGACAGCAGAAGCAGGGACATGGCAAAGGATCAGGACATGAGTCCAGGCTGTTTGTCACCCAGGCAGAACTGTCCAGAACACTGTGAAGTGCTGAGTCTCACCACAGTGCTTGGAATTCTTGTGTCCAGTCTTGTCAGAGGTTCTGCAGAATGCAGCACATTTGCAGAAACACCTAGAACTCTGGCGTAATACCCAAGATACATACTGAATCTTGAGTCTGGTGTGTCTTGTGTTTTTGTCTTCTCTTCTTTGAAGCTTTAGGACAGACGGTCTTTAGTTCCACTTTCTCAGTCTCCACACTGCATTTACTTGAGGCAAATACCATCTATGACTTGTCTGGACATGAAGCCAAGTCTTGAGATGTCATTTCTGCTGCCCACTGGTCATGGGACCTGTCTAGTCATGGCTTAGACTTCCTTTTTCTTTCCATCATCCCATCATGGAAAAACTAGCCAACCTTCAAGTCTCTTCATTTAGAGGAGTGATGTGAATCTTTGCCTCTCTGCGGTGTTGGATCATCAAGGAAGGGATGTGAGGTACATCACAAAGCTCCTAGGAAGCTGCCTGCTCCACCCAGAGGCATAATGGTATCTGCTGATTGTGCCACAGAGGTACCTTCATGTCCCAGAATCAGAGTGAGCTTCTGCCATGGAAGAGACATCCTTCATGTGGCCTCAGGGTGAGGGTTGGAGTATTGGAATAAAACCCCACTTTGTAACCAATGATGTATCTGAATTGGAATCTCATCTCTGCCACTTCTTATACCTCTGATCTGGGACAGCCCTGGACCTCGGTTTTCTCATCCACCAATACTGGTGACCATGGTAACAGTATCTCTTATGCTGAAGGATGAGTTTGACTCACAGATTTCCTCTATGCAAATATATTTTGCCAACTATAATGGTGAGTAAATGCTTTGTCACTGTTGTTGATAAGCTGGGAGGTGGGTGGCAAGTGTCCTAGCAACCCCATGGGACATTTCCAGAAATGTTCTGAGACAGAGCAGAAAGGCTTTGTGAAAGTCAAGTCATAAACAGTCCCACAAGCAAAGACAGCAGAAAATATTGGCCTTTGGGATTAAGGGTTCCCCCCGCCCCTGCAGAAAAACTGTAAAAGAGTTGTAGAAAGATGAGTAGGGGGAACAAATGGGACATTTTCCCAGCTGGGCAGAAGGGACGCTGATTGAGTACAATCAATGCCACCAGCCTGCTAACGAGACCCAATCAGGCGGGGCGATTAGAGATATTCTTCAAGGAAAGAGACAGCTGCAGGAAACTTTCCAGATTTCTAGAGGGGAGAAAACTGGAGAGCTAGAGTGCTGAGGCGGAAAGATGATGGGAGGGAAATGGAATCAGCAAAGCTGGCGTTCCCACCCCACCCATCCATGAAGTCAAAAAGGGAGAAGGTGGGGGCCCTGCTGCCTTCTCCACTTTTTCAGATGTTATCCTGTTCATAGTCACTTGCTCTCATTTCCTTCCTCCTGCTGGACCAGGGTAGCAGGACTTCCCTGCATCTTGCCCGAGACAGACAGCACTTAAGCACCTCACAAGGGTTCCAGCTAACAACTGCCAAGCCCATCACGGGCTCCAAAGCTTCCTCATACACTAGATCCTTTGGCCTCACAGAACCCCGCGGAGGCAGGGATTTTCAATATCTTCCACGTTTGAAGGGTGAGTTTAATGTAGCTCACTTCAATACAAATTTACTGAGCATCAATTTTGCACTTAGCATTTATGGTAGTGTTGAATTATATAGTGTCTGCTCTCGGGGAGCTCCTCGTCTGGTGAGGAAGGCATAGTTCAGTTCAGTAGTGTGTGGTAGCCCTTCCTTTCAGTGGTATTGCAACCAATGCATGGAGGGGGAATCATTCATTTTAAAAAGTCATTTTGCAAAATATCAAAACGTCATTGATTCGTGCACGAATCAGTCAATAGATACTAAAGCCACTGAGTGCAAATTGGATGATGACTAGAGTATTTACGATCACAAAGTGCAGAAGTCAAACTATCTCCCCATAGATTACTAATTCATCACCCAGAGGAAAACAGTAAACTTATAAGAAAGTTTGGAAGACAATGCATAGCAAAGTAAAGGATGTCAAGGGTAGGGGGAACTGATTTCCACATGCTTCTCAATGTGACAGACTAAAGCGCATAACACAATCTGTGCAGTTCTGCAGCTGAAATTACCTGTGAGGAAACCCTGACACATAACCACACCAAGAGGCATACAACAACTGACATGGGAAGTCATCAATGTTGTCAAAGACTAAAGTTGAGAAACTATCCCATATGAAGAGACTGGAGTGATACCATGGCTAAAGGCAACACAGGCCACCACATCAAACCCTATATCAGGAAAAGAATTTTCTGCCCATCTTAGTTACCTCCTTATTATAGTTATAATCACCTTGACCAAAGCAACTTCAGGAGAACAGGCTTGCTCTGGCTCCAAGTTCAAAGCACAGTTCATCATGGTGGGGAAGTCAAGGCGGTAGAAGCAGCTGCTCACATTGTGTGCACAACCAAGAGCAGAGAGTGGTAAGTGCTTGCACAATGCTCAACTCATTTTCCCCACTTTAGATAGTCCAGGAGCTCCTGTCCAGGGAATGGATCTGTCCCCAGTGACCCACTCTCTCCAGTGAGACTCCACTTCCTAAAGGTTCCACACCATAGTGCCAACAGCTGGGGACCAAGAGTTCAAACACAAGAGACTATGGGGGCATTGCACATTTAAACCACAATACCATGGGACATTTAGAGGATAATCTGGCAAACTTTAAGTATAGACTACATAATAGTAGACTCATGCTTCGAGTGAATTAGATGAATGTGTTGCAGAATACAGCTACCTGTTCAACACCTGCACATGGGTGTATAAAAGCCTGCTTACACTCAACTCTTCATCCTGTAACTATCGGATTTCCCACGTTGACCAGCGTCACCACCACCTGCCTAATGCTCAGTCAAAATGCCTATAAGGCATGGTTGATACTTTTTCTGTTATCCTGAGAGCCTGCCACCAATTCCTTAATGACTTTATCTTCAAATTTTATTACACATGGATTCACTCCTTTACATCTCCACTGCCACCACTCTGGTCCAAGTCATATAGTCTCACAAAAGGACCACAACAATAATCTCTTCAATTTCTCCCACAAGATACCATTAACATCCGGGCTAAAGAAAATGCATATCAATACAGTAATTACTTGTCCTAAAACTCTCAAAAGCTCTCTTTAACCTTAGAATGAAATCCTGGAAGTGTCTACCTTTCCCAAAAGGAAGCTTCATGCCCTATATCCTCAAGACTAAATTCTGAAATCCAAATCCAGAGTAACCTCATACAAGTGGCTAAAATACAGCACAAAATGTATTCTCACATTTCAGGGTATCTCCTGATAAGATTAGGAGAGCAGATGGGAAGACACATGATGCTGAGAACGGAAATAAAGGTATATAGGCAGAACATAATTCATCTGAGGACTTTATGCCTCTAAATTTTGTAGTCTTCTTAGTACGCTGTGCAGAATCTATAGGAGTCCTACTAAGCTTGACTAGGGTCCTCCCACATTCTTAGAGGTCCTATTATGAGTTTCTCTAAGATGGCACTTCCAACTCGCCTATATATCCATCCCTGTCAACACTACTTTTAGATCTATAGCCTAGACTCAAGTCTCAACCCATCCCAAAGGCCAAAGAGACAAAATGAGTTGTGAGACAGTTATTACACATTTTTAAAGCTATAGTAATTTTCCAATATACACAAATAGGAGTCTGGGGAATATTTGCAGAAGCAGATATTCCAACAGTGGGACCAGGGTGGAAGGATTTAAAGGTGAATCAGGCTAAACTTATTGATGAGGTTCCACCAAGCAGGTAGTCTAGATTCAAGTTTAGCTTAATGGGCTAGAAAGGGTTTTAATTGTTGGTTTACTGGGTAGGTGATTATGTGAGTTGGTGAGTTGTTCAGTTAGTTCGTTGACTGGTTGAAATGTGGATCCAAATATGGCCTAGAGCAGTTGAAGGTAAGATGTCAAAATTGCCTTGGTATATTACAGGGGAAGATATCCAAATACATGAGGAAATTTATCATGTCCGATCTATTTACCTACCCCAGAAGGATATATAATACATAATTCTCTATACATATAATATATATTTCTAAAACTGTCAGAAATGAGTGTATGAGGGGAGTGATAGCTCTTCAAAGAGTTCATTGGTCACTCTTTACAGTAGACACTGATACTCCTGGACTGAGATCCCTAAGTGCAATGGGTGTCATGGGACCGTGGGTGGCACAGACCATGCGGTACCACTTAATTACCAAAGACCAGGTGGAAATGGTGACTGCAATAGGCAACAGAGTTTGACTTCAGAGATCCATGACATTACCTTAGAAAAGAAACAGACCTGTAGGACTAAACTGTTACATGATCCTATGGACAGACTTTTAAGACGAGGGAGGAGATCTCTTACTTTAATTGTACAGATAGTCATGGGCCCTTAATCATTTCATTTTTCGAGCCTTGAGAGCCAGTTTATAGACTCAGGACTCTGAATGAAAGAGAAGAACCAAGGTATCTTTAAGGAAAGATCCTTACAGTTGTCCAAAAATGCATTGTGCTGATCTTTCTCCCAGCATTCTCTGTAAGGATACACAGCCTTTTACCAAGGGAGGTGTGACTGAGGAAAGAGAAACAAATAATCATAGTGTTTAGGGGTTTGGGAGTATTGGTTCTGAACTGACACTCATTTTCAGTGAACCAAAAATGTCACTATAGTTAACTAGTCAAGGCAAGATCTTATGGAAGCCAGATAACTGATCAAATCTGAGCACCAGGCCATCTCTCTGTGGGTCCAGTCAACCCCTGAACTGGTCTTATAGTTATTTTCCCAGTTCTGGGATTTGCAATTGAAACAGACATACCCAGGAGCTGGCAGAATGCCTACAATGCTTCCCTGTCTTGTGGAGGGAAGAATATCATGGTGGGAAAGGTCAAGTGGAAGCTACTAGAACTGCATCTCCCTTTAGAAGCAGTAAATCAAGAGTCGTCAGCATTTCTGGAGGAAGTCCAAGACTAATGCTATAGGGGAGAGAGAGATGCCTCTCACCCATCGCAAGGGTCATGCCAACACCCTGTAACAAAACAGAGCAACAGGAAAGGCTAGCAATCCATGTAACCAAAATAGTACTGAACACGAGAGCCCTCGGAAGTAAAAATCTAAAGGCCTTGAGAAAATTGGGTATGTTTATATAAAATCTCACGAAACAAGCAATAGGCACTAGAGTTTGACAACTGAACAAAAGTACGGTAAGGACTAATGGTACTAACAGGGCACGAGGGACAGATCTTATTTCCTTTTCCTGCTGCTGTCATGAAATACTCTGATGGAAGGAACTTAAGAGCAAAAGAATGATTCTGGACGATAGCCGGTCGTGATAGGGCAGTCTAAGCAGCTGGACTTGAAGCTTACATCCCACCCATGATCTGGAAGCATAGAACAGTGTTCGCTGCTGCTCAGTTTCTGTCTTTCCTTTATCCAGTCCAGGATTCCAGGTAGGGAATAATTCCATCCACAGTAGGCAGGTCTTGCCATCTCAATTAACTCAGTCAAGACAATCCCTCAAAGGCATGCATGCTCAGAGGTGATTCTTAGACTCTGTCAAATCAACAACACCAACCATGGCCCTAGGTATAAAGCAAAGCCCTTCTGGAATGGGTTCTTATGACTTACTTCAAGTGAGATGAGTCAAAGAACTCCCTTATGGCCATGCTTCAGGGGAGAACTATGAGGGAGGGTCAGGGGCGACCCCTGAAGCCTGTACTTTCTCCTTCTGACATACTGCTTTGTAGGTTACCTTGTTCTAAGGCACAAAGGATGCAGGTGCTTCCCACCAGAGTTCTGTTTAACTTACCTATTCAATACACAGAGGGATCTTAGAGAATGGCAATGGGTCATCACAGGTATCTATGCTTGGTTTATGGAGTCAGTTAGATGGCAATTTCATGAAGAGCTGGGCCAAGCAAGGTTCATCAGAAGGCTGTGCTCTAAACCAAAGCCTAATAAATGGTGGTGTCCTCCCTCTAATCAAGATCCATGTACATGGGAATCAGGGAGTGAAAGTGGGAGTGTTTTCATTAGCCGTTACACTCTGAGCTGTGTCAAAATGTCTGTTTCTCAACCCTGTAACTTTAGCTCTGGTGGCCTAGAGGTCTTACATCTGAAGGGAACAATGCTTCTCAAGTGAAGAAAATACTGATTCCATTGCTAACAACTGCTATACAACCTCATATCTCTGAACCAACAGAAGGAGAATATGCAAATGTCATAGCCCAAATGATCAATCTTAATTACCAAGTGGAACCTGGGTTGTTGATATACAACAGAGATAAGAAAAAGTGCATCTGGAAGACAGGAGCCTAACAGGGCCTCTCTTAGCACATTCATGCCCTATGATTTAAGTCAATGGAAAACTACAACTTAATTCAGGAGGGTTGCTAAGGACACAAACCCTTCAGAAATGAAATCTTGAGTTGCCTTGCTAGTGAAGATACTCACTGAAGGCAAAGGAATATGGACTGGGTAGTGGGAGGAGGTAGGTGTAGATACCAGCTGTGCCCTTAGGACATTACAAAGATTATGATGGTTATAAGTATGTCTTTCTAATTGTATAATGGGTACAGGCAAATATTGAAACTGGTTATGAAAGAGAGAGAGAGAGATTACTTTGTTAGGTGGCTTAGTATTGTTCAAATATTGTAGATTATACCTATATAAACTAAGATGTTTACAATATAGTGATATAAACTTTTGGGACCACCAGCATATGCACAATTTGTTGGCCTAAAGATTATCATCTGTCATATGACTATATTCCAGAAATAAAGCTGCAACTAGGAGAACTGAAAAAGCTTCCACCAACAACAGTGATTATTTATAGTGTTTGAGTTGACAGTTATGTTCCTTTGTCAATTGACCTATCTTGGTCCTATGAAAACCTAGTTGATTGTGATAGGTGATGATGAACTACTCCAAGCTTAACTAGATGGTAGCCCTGATTACAGCTGATGAGGCCCATGTAGTCTCTGTACATGATTATGAACTCACCTTGGAATATAACTAAAAACCTGGTCAACAGATTTTTGATCCCATTAGTAGGAAAGGGATTTAAAATTTGCACTTACATGGTAAAGGCAGCAATGCACCCACACAGTCTTTTCCAAGAGCTACATTGTACACAGGACCTCGACACTCTACAGGTTGTTAAGGGGTCCAGTGTAACGATTGTATTGCTGTGCTGAAGTAGAAATTACCCTTAAAAATTGTTTTTCAAACATTCTGTAAAGTGTAAGAGATTTTTTTTTCCAGTTTATTACAAACTGATTCTTAGATTTTGTGTCATTCTTCACTTATAACTAAATACAAGGTTATGGATGAAATACTGATTTTCCCCATATTAAATATAGTTAAGAGCCTTTGATTCCCTTTAGTAAAATTATCTAAACTAGGTTGGGCTAATAACGATCTTGTTCACAAGTAATATTGTAAAATTCTATGACTTATTTTAATGACATGACACTCACTGTGAGGAAATCAATCTCAACCTCACAAGGAAAAGAAGCAAGTTTGAGATCAAGGGTTTGTTTTCAACGGTAATCCAAAATACAACATGCAGTATTTTTATTTCTGGATCATTGATTCTTCAGCTTTTCATTAGTCAGTCTTAATACACTGACTTATAAACTTGGAAGTAAACTCAGATTCTTTTTTTCATTTCTTTTAGACTCCTTTTTAATGAAGGAAATAAATTCAGAGGTCACAGACAGCAAACTAACCTACAAAAGTTAGTATCACACACTACTCTCCACGTGAGTTCAAGCACACACCATGATGGAACTAACCTGGTTAAGTGAGATAAATGCACTGATCATTACTAACACAGATGTCACAACAATGCCACATTGCTACTAAAGTTTCTAAAGTAAGGGAAACAAATGCTCTGAGAAAAATTCCATGAAGATCAGATTTCTGGTATGCAGATGAAGGTTTTAGGATTTCAGTGCCTGCAACAGACAGAAACATTCTGTCTAAGACATAAGGCAAGTTCTTGTTACTCACACTTCCTACCATTATGAGAAAAGCATTTGAAATGAGAATCTCACTGGGTAACTTGGCTTTGACCCATTCTCAAATCAAAAGTATATTAGATTTGTTGTCCCTGGGACCAAATACTTGAGAGAAACAATGGAAGAGAGGGAAGGTTTATTTTGCTTCTGGTTTCAGAGATTTTAGTGAATCCTGGCAAGGAGGGTGTGGCAGGGAAGCACCCATCATAGTAGACAGGAAGTAGAGAACAGTAGCAACAGAAGCCAGGGAAAGACAGAGCCTCGAGGATTTGCTCCCTGTGACCTTCTTCCTCCAACCTGACCCCACCACCTGCAGCAATTTCACCGCCTCCCAAAAGTGTGTTCAAACCCTGAATCCATCAACGGGCTAAACCAACCATTAGATCATAGCCCTTATGATCTAATGTCCTTTGGAAATGCTCTCACAGACACATCCAGCTTCTTTAATCTCCTAGGCATTCTCGGTCAAATAAAGTGGATGAATCTAACCACCACAGAAGGCTTTCAACAGGAACAGGTTCTCAGCACACCCAGCTGTGTGTGAGTCAGCTGATCGGCCGCTCAAGGCCACACAGAGAAGCAGAGAGGAGCCAACGTGCATAATGATGTCTTAGAGAGGCTGTTTTTGTTCTTTTTTTTTTTTTTTAAGTACTAATGGAAGTGACTCATGTCATGACACTGGGCCATAGTTCAGACCGAGCTCATGTGAGATCAAGGAACAACATACAAGAGACCTCTGTAAATGATCTGGGTACTGCCAGATTGACCAAGTTATGGGTTGCTGGACACGACAGCCGTGCATCATACAATAGACATGGCATGGTTTAGATTCAGCCAGAGCAGATGAGGGACTACTAAAGGGAATTACTAAAGGGAAAAAAAAAACCTGTTCTCTTTTTCTCTACTCACAACACTTTTGACATTAAATGTGTGGCATTTCTTCCATGTCAAAAACCAGTTATCCAACTCCTTGGACACAAAGTAGTGCTCTCTCCTTTGATTCAAGCTCAACGCAGTAGAGTGACATCATGAGACTCCATGAGATGTCAATTCTAAGTCTCAGGGCTTTGAGACATCTGACCCAGTTGGCTAAACATTGGGGATTCACATAAGCACCACCGCCAGGGGTTACATGGTTTACCATAACACCTCACAGAACCCAGGAAACGCATTACTTACTATCATTACATTATTACAAAAGATATAAAATATACAAGCACCACCGCCAGGGGTTACATGGTTTACCATAACACCTCACAGAACCCAGGAAACGCATTACTTACTATCATTGTATTATTATAAAAGATATAAAATATACAAGCACCACCGCCAGGGGTTACATGGTTTACCATAGCACCTCACAGAACCCAGGAAACGCATTACTTACTATCACTGCATTATTACAAAAGATATAAAATATACAAGTAAGCAGCTAGATAAAGAATAGAACTACGTAGGCAAGGGTCCATGCTCCTAGTCCTCTCAGGCTCTGCTCTCATCCTTGATGTATTCACCAGCTCAAAAGCACTGTATTTATGGGTTTTGTGGCACTTTCCTTGTATAAACACAGCTGTTTGAATCATTGGCCCATTGGTGATTGAACTGAATATCTAACATCTCTCCTCTCCTGAATATCCAACTTCTCTCTCCCTGGGAGCCAGGGGTAGGACTGCAATTTCCAACTGTCTAAGAAAGTTCAATTCCCCTGATAACACTTCCCCATCCTGAAACTAGTGGGATTCTTAGGTTCCTTTATCTCATTAACATATAAAGCCCCTTTATCACTCTGGAGATTCCAAGTGCCTTAGAAGCTCCATCCTAGGAACCAAGAGAAAAGCCCAATGTATATTTCTCATTATGTCACAATTACCTTAGCCAGTATGCAGGACATCTCTATCAGCCATACATACCCCTGTTCACTGATACTTAATTCACATTTATTATTTACAAGCTCATAGTATCTATGACCAAGGAGGGAAAATGGAAGACCTCAGGATGCTTTGTTAAAAGTACAGTATGTTGATATTAGCCAAAAAGTATAGTTAAGAGTGCTCAAGAATGACTGAAGAGTATATTTCCAGTGTTAAATATCCCTGGTGGACCCACTAGGAGCATCTGGGCTTTGTCTTATACTGGAAATACTGGGAAAGAAGCCTGAACTACATATACACAGCACTCCTGAGTGGCAATTGGCTTGGCTATTAAAAGCCAGGAAGGAACACAGTTAAAAGTTGAGCAGCAAGGAGGCCTGGTGAAGAAATATGTAAACAGACCCATGACAGGAGGTGGCAAGCGTGCAGACCTTTGTTTCTCCTCAGACCCTCTACTGAAGGAAATCTCTGTAGCAGACGGATTTCCCTGGGGGAATTAGGCATCCAGTCTCCTCTTGTGCTGATGCAGAGATCCCATGAAGGAAGCAGCAGTGTTCCAAGAGGGGTGGCTGTACGGGAGCCCCCAAAGCACATCCTCCTTCTCACCATCACTGACACAGATGTTTTCACCAGTGACTGCCATGCCAGCTGTGGAAACCCACCCTGCTGCAGAACAACCTCTCAAGGGGACCAACCAAACACTTAGAGATCCCTTACTCTCAGGAAGGACATCAATGTGTCCTCACTGGACTGGACTCCCCACTGATCTGGAGCTTGTCCTCCATTTCAGTTCGTTCTCTGCTATTGTAACAGAATATCTCAAGGTGGGTAAATTATAGAAAGCAGAGCTAAGGCTCACAATTCTAGAGGCTGGAAAGTCTGAGAGCACAATGCCAACATTAACCCCTCTGCTTACAGCTCTCCGTATAACTCCTTGCTCATGGCCCTCTCACCTATGGACGTTCTAGCTCTTAACACTGTTACAATAATGATTAAATTTTAGCATGAACTCTGGAGGGGGCATTAGAACCATTAAAAAAAACAGGCTGATGTAGATGTAACCAACGGTCTTATTAAATAAAAAACACAGAGCCAATTCAGAGAAGAAAGCCAAGAGATCAGAGCTAAGAGCCTCACCCTTCCTGATTCAGGGATCCTCTTCAGCCAAGAGAGCTCTCCGAAAAAAGGGCCTACTTCCTGTGTGTGTCTTTATATAGTCTAGCTGTTTTGTCTTCTCATTGGTTGTAAACCCAAACATGTGACTGCCTCGTCACTGTCTGAATGTACCGCCCTCCAGGTCCTTAAAGGCGTGCGCCACCGCCGCCATGCACTTGCTATGGCTCTAATAGCTCTGACCCCCAGACAACTTTATTTATTAACATACAATTAAAATCGCATTTCAGTACAAGTAAAAACCACCATAGGCTGAGCAAGCCACAACTAGCAAGAGAGTAAGCAACACTCTTCCATGGCCTCTGCCTCAGTTTCTGCCTTGTCTTCCTGCCCTGTCTTCCCTGGATGATGGACTACAAGCTATAAGATGGAATAAATTGTTTCCCTCCAAGTTGCTTTTGGTCATGGTGTTTTATCACAGTAATAGAATCCCTAACTAAGGCAGGTGAAAGACTAGACTCGATGCTCTTCCAAGCCCAGTGAGAATTATCATCTTAGAATGAGGAATATCCAGAATGCTTCAGGAGGAGGGCAATGATGACTGTCAGCCAGAACATTGGGATCAGCTGAAGCTTGGGGCACCAAGGCACCTTGTGCTAACTCCAGCTTTGAGTGTTCTCAGAGGTTATAACTAGACCTACCTTGAGGGGAACTCTGACTGACTGAGCTTGTACCTCCCGCTAAGGAAGACAAAGGTACCTCTTTTCATAAAAATGGAACACTAACAGAAACACAGAAGCAAGAAATATCAAGCAGGAGTGTGCAGTTAGGGCAGAATATTGGATGGGATGGGATGCTGGGAAAAGCGCTGAGATTTGTCTAAAGGAAATAGAGAGGGACCCAAAAGAAGGTCTCAAACCCAGAGTTTCTCTTCATAAGTCATCCATGCCTCCTATCTTGCTATTTAATTTGAGTAAGAACCACGGAGTTAGCTTTTATTGATGTGAAAATGTACACACTCTGCCACATGCAAGAACCAATTTAAACTTGTCCTTAGCATATATTTTCAAGTAAAGAAAAGTAACATGAGGAAGCCAGGACTAACTGCCAAGAAAATCATAGTCATATCATATTGCAGGGACCCCTGAGGAAGAAACACTTTCATGAGGAAGGCCAGGTAAGCAAACACCCACCTGTCTGGCTTGAGCTTGAACTTGGCTTTTCCAACACTCACAGTCTCAGAAGCTGCACTTGGGGACAGACTTCATTTGTCATCGCAGTGACCTTTCACTGAACGTGGTCGCATGCCAATTGTGACACAAG